GCGGCTTGAAATTTGGTATTGTAAAAGTCATTCGTCATTTTACGTACTCGGATATAAGAACAGCCTTGGATAACGATGTTTCGTTGTTAACACTTCGCTTTTTTACGTTAGACTCTGACCAGCTATTGAAATTAGGTTATTTTCATGAGTGACAATTGTTACTGAGCAGCTCTTGTAGCCCATGAACTCAGCTAACTCGTTGTGTGGCAATTTCATATGCCAAATTATCAAGATAATGCGTCGTTACAGATACTGATGCTTATGTGCTTTCATATTGCAGCCGCCACTTGTGACCACCTGAAGCTAGATAAAAACATACAAACACTTAAACGCAACTAACTGTATGTGCAGAGATCAAATGTGCAACCAAATGCACTTGTTGCAGAGTTCGACTTCTGAGTTGGCAATCTTTGTTTTCGCACTAATTCTCTTGCGCAAATAATTGATGGCCTAATCAGACCGGGATTATGTAGTCAGTAGAGTGTCGGACTCAGAATCGGAAAGTCCTGGCCTCGAACTCAAGTTCAGGTCGCTTGTTTTTCTTTGTGATGTCCATAAAAGAGTACCAGTTCGATGAAGAAGCGGGAAGAAGCAGGAGAATACATATAACGCTTGCCATCTGCCGTGGTTCTGTATTTAAAAATAAGGCACTCCTTGATGGTGACGTGGAGATGGATATCATCGCCTCCACACTTAATTTTGTGAAATCAAGGGTAACGTAGTTAGCACCATCACCAAAGTGCAAGATAGGTCGATGCAAATGTAAATGCGGCAAATGTTTCCTATCATTTTTATCATATCTTAGGGCTATATTCGCAAAATATAACTGAACAGTATATTTGACTTTGAACCGCGAGAAGTTGCGCTTAACTCTAATTGTGTGTCGAATCTTTGAGCTGCGAATTCTGTCGAGATATACAATATTTGCTGTTTAGCATAGAATGACTACTGACTTAACCACCTCTGAAAGCAGTTGTACCTCTGCTTCTAAGTGGAGTTGGTTAAATTTTCTGATTTTCAGGTTTAGTACTTAATGTTGTTCTTATAGGAAATCTCCTGACTTACTACACTTCTACAGGTTTGCTCATCCACTCCTTTCAAAGCGGGTAATATATCCGTTGCTTACTGGTACTATGTCTGCATCGTTTGTCCGTTGCTTCACACCTGTCGGCACTTTACTACAATCCCAGGTGAGAAGGGGCGTGAAAGATGTACTACCATGAAATGCATTCCAAGTTTTATTCAGTCATGCCTAAATGAAAGAAAAACGCTGTTTTGAATTTGAAAGGACTGCAGTGCAAGAGGTAATGAGGCTGTAGAATTTCCACGCATCTTTAAGTCAATACGCATGATCGAAAAATATTTGCACAGCCCCAAACCAAAGCATTGCAAGCGGCGGTTCGTAATTATTCAGAAAGATAGAACAATGAATTCTGCGTCGTCAATCGTGCATCAACCAAATTCCATAGATTCAGATTTTAATACTTTTTTAAGATTCCATTTAACTTGTTATGACCGCGCTCAGCGATTCATTTTTCCAAAATTGCATTGCATCAGTAATGCGAAATCTATGTTATCCTGTAATCCATGCGAAAGACGATGATCTTTTTAATGGTAGCAATGTATCTACTGAAGATAGGGAACGTTAGACACTTCGCCAGCGGCGGTGTAGTTTATTTATAGCCACCTTCAATCATAGTTACGCGCTGCGTCAAAACTGGGCTGCAAAGCGTGATGTAAATGGAGCAGAGATTAATTTAAAAATTCGGTAACGCATGGCTCCCGTGTCAAGGTCGATTGATTTAAAACTTTGGCAGAAAATTATGAATGAATGATTGATTGAACCTCAAGTTTATCCTTATATGCGACCTCTTCTAAACAACGCGACGCCTTTCGGAAATAAAGCTTTAAGACACTGCTGCATCGCGACGGCATCGTGGTTTTCGCCAGCTGTCCACATGTACGACATAAAAATTTTGCTTCCAATCTTCTGCCTATTGATTGAGGCCGTAAGCTAATTGGCATTTTAAAATTTTAAGCATATCGACAGTCATACAGCATGCATATTTTAGGTATTATTCGAGGCACGAAATCACGGACTGAACAGCGAAGTCGTGCAAAAAATAGGTACGATATTTTACCTTTAATAATCTTGATCAAATGTTACTATCCAGAGTCATAATTCATTCATTCCGGTATGAACTGAAACTAATTTGTCTTCAATCGAGACTGGAAATGTGTAGTTTTCACGGCATCACACCCTCAGCCTCAGCCAAAATGAGAGTACGAACGGTAATTATCAAGTGAAACCGAGGTGTTTTCGGCTTGCACTGAGCCGCAAAACAGTTTCAGTCTATGCAGGTGCGAGAATCTTCATTCTGCATGGAAACATTTTTATGTTTGAAACATTTCATATATGAGATTATATATCTGTTACATATACTTATGACAGCCCAACAACGAAGTGAAACGAAGTATAGTTAAAAACTAAGCATTTTGATTGTGTACGTGTATCATATTGCATGAAAAGTTGTATGACGGTATGAAACAACGTATATAACATTCCACAACATTGCTAATTAACTTCCGGTTTGCATATCATCTGTATCTTTTGTATCTTTCTGTCACATTATGTAGCAGCTTATCACGTGGGTTCAGTGTCTCAGCTGCTGAGAGATCATGACGCACAGTCTTACTGGTCTAAAGAAAAAAATGAAGGAAAGTTTGCAACGTTTGGAATGTGGACCTTTGCAGAAAAAACGCCAGTGATTCGACCGGTTTTTGAATCCCGGATCCTCTCGGTTCTGAATCCGATGCTCTATCGACTGAGCAGATCCAATCCTGACTAAACGGGTTTTATTCCAATACAACGTGGAGTACAGTGCAGTACAGTAGAACACCTGTTGCTCTAGATTACGTACTGGACCAGAATCAAGATGACAGAATTTGAGGATTTCATCTCCGCAATCTCGCACTGTCCGTTTATATTGATCCTGAATAGCCAAAATAAAGGTCAAAACCAGTGTCAGCATTTGCCGCAAATATGGTCAGGCCGTGCTGTTCAAAAATTACCGTGCTAGTTGCATCGTCAGAGGCAACGATTATCCTGTCAGTGTATTCAGCATTAACTTGGTATGTGCCTCCTATCGTGTCATCCTAGCGACTCACCTAAGCCAGGAGCTAAAGAGTTTTTGTCATGCGCACTATTTTTGAAGCAAGGCGCGTTTGTGGCTTGCTATAATTGCATGTAAAAGCCGTGCCAGACCGTAATGCGGGTTTTACTGTGCTATGCATTTGTTATACATATACCGTACAATAGTGTTCAATACCCCTTTTAAGTGCCTTGTAACGGTCTATAGCTGCCTGAACATCTTTCCAGCAACGTTCCGTTGAAATATCATTTGCAGCGTGTATCCTCTAAGTTGAAACCACTGCATCAGTTTAAAATAAAATTTACTTTAACTACACTGACTAATGAGATGTATTGTACTACATGCAGTGCTACATTGAAGATTCTCTAAGAAGAGAAACAGGTGAGAGAAAACTCTACACAAAATAATATCTCTTCGCCTTATTGTTACCATGGGAATCGATGAAAACCTTTTCCTGCCTGAATAGTGGTATGCCTAAACCAATCCACATATTTTGGGCAAACGCCAGAAGCTGAATTTCAAAGTGACTTAATGCGAAATGCTCAACATACCCAAGCCATCGTTTCTTAGATCTACCGATCACTGGTGGCTTTACCGGGTGGATGATGGTAATATG